CTTCCCCCCCCCCCCCCCACACTTCCAACAATTTTTTGGAAAAATATTAATTAGCGACTGAAATGTTGTCGACAAATGCGATACTACACCCCACCCCCTTCTCTATCCTTTTCGCTACGGCTCTGTTCGTCTGTTAGCTTCAGTGTCAGGTCTAAAATTGGTGATTTAGTTTGGCCGTGATTTTCAATTTGAAGTGTTCGTACCTTATCTGCAATACGTTAAATTAAAACAAGTCTGCCATCCCGATAGAAACCAATGACGTACCGTTATGACGTTATAACATTTCGGAAATATGCGATCTTGTCAGTTTACAGTATTTATACTAAATGTCCTCAACAATGACTTTGGGAAAGAATGTGCTAGTTTATCGGAATGACGGACTTGTTCTAATCAAAAGAAAGAGCGGACCTATCGCACATAAGGTACAAAAACTTCCATATACTACTCAAACATTTCAACAGTTAAAACGCTCTATATTTTACTCAAACGACACGTTTTCGTATTTTAAAAGTAACTTTTCCCTATTTATGCCTTATAGACGTTGGTCCAGTATATATAACAGGTGACCCTGAAGTGGCAAAACGAACAGTGAACTCTCTCCGAGCAAATGGTGGAGGTGATTGCCCAGAATTGGGCATGACTGGTCTTTATTTAGCTATTCTTAACAGTCTACCTAATTCTGATGTGTATTATTTCACTGACGCGGGAGCCAAAGATATCCATCTAATATTCTCTGTGATATCAGTCGCATTGCAAAAAGAATGTAGAATTTATCTTTTTATCAGTGGTCAATGCACTTTAACAGAGCGAGAAGTGTATGACACACTAGCCAGCGCAACTGGAGGACAACGCATAGAGTATTCAAAGTCTGACATTAACGAAGCTATCAAGCTTCTTCGTCCCGCAAATGTTTCTGAAGGAAATTCGTCATTGTTACGAGACGTCACACTGCTCTCTGTCGAAGTCAATACTAATCACTTAACGATGAAATCCTACAGTGTTCAATGTGATTCTACCTTTGCTTCTATTACAGCTGTATTAAGTGATGGAGGAAATGCTGATATTAAAGTTTTCCCACCTCAAGGTGAGTCCAACTATTTTGCCTGGGTGCAAAGACTGTATGTGCTTAGAAAACAGTATGTGAAAACCCGTGGCATTACTGGTCGACTCTCTTTGACTGGTTGAAAATATAATGATTTCTAATGATTACTCTAATTAGGTAATGCCTTTACAATGTATGCGGATGGAAAAATCTAAGATACTGCTTGTGAAAATGCAATTTTGTGTGAGTGAGTGATTGAGTGAGTGATTGAGTGAGTGATTGAGTGAGTGATTGAGTGAGTGATTGAGTGAGTGAGTGATTGAGTGAGTGAGTGAGTGAGTTTAAAGCTTTATTTCCTCCAATTTCTGGAGAGTATTTTTACAGTACAGAATAAAAAAAGAATTAATTACAAAATTAATTACAATTACTTAATTAGTATAATTTCAGTTACTAACTATATTGAAATAACCGTCCTATTAAAGCAATATGAGATATTGTTTACAGATTTTAGCAAAGATTCTTTTCTCAGTTTGTCGTCTAAGCCCAATGTCTCTCTATTTGGTCCTAGTATAGTCAATATAAAATCTGAGTCAGATAAGGCGACTAAATTTACTGTTGATTCAATTTCAAAATTATCCACTATCCAGTTCTACAGGTTCTCCCTCTCATTGTGTGAGGCTAAAAGTACAACAAGGCCTGATTTACAGGGTTAACATAACGTTTTTGACATATTTCGCAAAAGTCTGTCTATACAACTGAGTTACAAACACGTTTTCCCGTGATCCATAGTTAATAGAGGACAGGGTTTGGAAGGCCGGCAAACTTCAAAGGCTTTCGAGCTAATTAATTTCAGATGTTGGAAAGGTACGTCACGTGACATTTCGGGTGCATCAAATTCAGAAATTACTATAGCGTAGTACTACAGAAATATGCTATTGTGCTTATAAATTTTAAAATAAGGCATTGTTGTTCTTGTTATGGCTTCGACAAGTTCGGCATACGATTCAGAAAGCAAAATTCTTCCAATTCTGAGTGCTGGAGACGCAGATACAACGACGGAGGCGATTTTCATCGAACTATTTAGCTGCTGCAAATCAACGCGGATGAATTAACTGAAGAAATATCGCGTTCAGTTGAAGAAGTAAGTCCTTTATACTGTGTCCAATTAAACAATATGTAGTGAGATGCCTTAGACTTAATATTCGACTTATATTTGTCGTTTAGATTGAAGGATTAAAGCAATTCCTGTGCGAATATCGACGCAGTATTAAGCACTGGACAAATTCTACATACATTCTGTAGCTTGTACTGCCAAACTAAGAAAACAAAACCCATGTTTATATATGACTTATCACGCATGAGAAGGCATTGTCGATCATTCGAGAGGTAGGGAAAAGGAAAGAATACTTTCATCCATGCAGAGAAGATAAAGTTGTGCTATTGATGCTGGTGAATATGCCCGAACGGTTGATTTTGCTAACCAGCAGATATTCTAAAGTTTATATTATATAAAACACTAAACAAACGGCATGCTTTAATTAATACCAGTATTAAATATCTTATTGTATATTAGACAATATAGTCTAGATATGAATGTCATAAATAGCAGGTCCTAAGGCTTACGTCCAATTGTCAATTACAAGTCCAGATATTGACCTACTATACAGTGATTCAATGTCTACTGACATGTAATCTACTGACATGTAATTTGTTAGTTTTGATCATTCTGTCACATCAAAATAGAAATGTTATTCCAAGATTCCATGATATTTCATATTTCTTATTTGATATTTCCTCTGTATGGTACAATATTGACGTAAGGGTATTAAACTTAGTTCTTATTCCTCTCCAAACGCTTTGTAGACCAACTGTTGGATGCCAGAAGATTTTACCTATGTGCAAAGGATTATATACCCAGAAATATTATTTAATGTTTTTATTCCACTAGTAATTATCAGTGAAATCAGAAGAGCTTGGACCACTTGCTTATGTTGCTGGGGAGGGGCCCACAGGGCTGTGGGCACCAAATTCATGACTTGATGTCGTGCTCTAGAAAGCACACAAGAATTGGCCTCTCTCCTCCGCAGAGAAATGTATCTCAATACTAATCGTAATCATGGGTTAGGTTAAAACGCGGATGCGGAACGGATATGGGGTTAAAATGCGGAACGGAATGGAAATGCGGAACGGAACGGAACGGATATGGGGTTAAAATGCGGAACGGAACGGAAATGCGGAACGAAACGGATATGGGGTTAAAATGCGGAACGGAACGGATATGGGGTTAAAATGCGGAACGGAACGGATATGGGGTTAAAATGCAGAACGGAACGGAACGGATATGGGGTTAAAATCCATCTGGTGGACGGGAAATCTGATTGGTTGATCAGCATCATGAAAGATTTTGATTGGTTGCAAGTTCATATAAACAATGGTTTTAAAAATAGCTCTGTCAAAGCGACAATTAAGCCGGATAAAGACGAGCAAGTTTTCTTTAAGAATCTTTAAAACCTGGAATGAGAAAAGCCGGTATCTTTAAAACCCGGAATTATTACTGTAATTACTGTAATAATTTATTAATTTAATAAAGCCAAGTTTTGGCGGGATTCCTAATCTCCTTTGCGCCTTGTGTCAGATCCTCGAACAAACAAGTAAGCAGTAAAGTAAAGAACCTCAAGAAATTTTGTGCAAGGCTGATATTCTATTATTCTGGAGGAAACACAGTGGGTTAGTTTTTATAGCGAATACTATTATCAATACTGTTGAATTGAAGCTCGATTTTTGATATACGTCTGGCAGTACCACATCATTTTCAAAATACTAGGCCGTTTCAATTTTAACAAGACGCCTACTCAGGCGTTCACTCCGCCTGCCGGCCTGTGGAGAAAATGGGGACAATGTAGGGTGCGACGGAAAAGTGAAGCCAAATATAAGCATTCAAAGACAAGTTGGTGTTCATAGCATTCAAAGATAAGTTGACATTCATGGCATTCAAGGTTAAGTTGGCATTCATGGCATTCAAAGTTAACTTGGCATTCAAAGGAGCAATGGCATTTACTTTTCTTTGAATTTTCATAAGAAAGTGCCATAACCTATAAGAGACAGAAATAGGATATTAATACTGACACACCAATTCTGTTTGGCCCATCATTGTAATAATAGAGGCCCAAAAAGCATGTTTGAGTGGCTTGGTAGGTATTCTGCCCAGAGTCCTAGTAGGGTTGAATTAAATACATTACACAACACATAATGCAAGAACGTTAACCGAACCAGTGAACTGCTGTTTTTAGGCGTTTTAATTGTATATATGTTTGTGTTTTAATCTTTTGGGCCCACAGTAATTGGCTTTTCAGGC